TTGACGAAGTCATCAATTATTCTTCCGCCAAGACACATAAGGAAGAATGCCTAATTTAGGTCATAATGATAACTGTCGTGGCCTACCAGTTCAGTGCAGTATGCATCGTCCTCCAATTGGTCCTTCATTTGCCTAAAGTCGCCTGCTGACGTACAGGCCGGCTTACGGGAAGCCGACTTGCCGCAACTGCAAAGTATGTCGACCGTTTGTTAACTGCCGACTCCTGTCCCTTCCGACCGCCGAGCAGTCGTCTTATATCGTTTAATATTACAGCCTGCGTCTTCAGTATTTTGACTGTGCGCAATGCAAAACGGCAGCTTTTTCCATGGTCGGCGGCTGTCGATTGAGTCCTGGTCCCAAAAATTCAAATTAAAACTTAATTGCAGTTAACATAACATCTCACCACCCATACGAGGTTTTTTCCCGAAGGGAGTTCGTTGATGGACGTATTAGCGTCTTCCTGTGTTCGAGTGTTTGTTTGAATTTCAACCAGCCTTATATTTGCCTAGTTACCGACGATGATAGGCCATTATTTAGTAAATGGCTGTATTAATGGCTGATCTACATTGATGTTCGGAGTGCTTGATGGATTTTGAGTTAGACATAGTATTACATTAGATATGTAGTTTGCATTCCGAGATGTAATGAAAGGAAGGGTGTTTGGAAAATTTAGTTGTCCTCATAAAATTTCAAGCGGATAACAACGGCCCGTCGCCAGACCACTTTTCATTTAATCTGACGACAGGCCGGTATTACCTGCTTAATACTTCATGAGTACAACTTGACTTTCCTAAGATCTTTCTTTTCATAGTATTATATATAAGGGCACATGAGAAAGGGGGCCTAGATTTAAGTAGTTTAGTGTTCGTTCGGATGATGATGATTGTTCGACCATCGATTTCAATGTAGTCCACCATGTGCACCAAGCAGGCTGGAGCAGGGAGGGTGACTGAAGACGGATTCGTTTTAATTGAATTTAGATGCGCAACTGGCTACCGCATTCTTTACCCTCAGCCCGCTTGAACTGGTGATAAGGCGGAGTCAAAATGACCGAACGAAATAAGGCGT